GGGAAAGACTTAAAACTCACACAGATTGCAAAATATTGCAGTTTTAGCAAAGCGATTTACAGAGGAGCAGCCAAATTCATGTGTAATTTTACAGTTGGGATCTAGACCTCGGGTTTACTCTGAATGCAGCTCAGAAATTATTCCTCTGTATTTTCTCTTCTCCTCATTTTTAAAATCAATACGCTTTGCAGAGAATCACAAATTTGGTCATTTTAAAGCGCATCACTTTATCACTGACAGAACAGCATGAGAAGAAATTGCTTAAAAGGTGATGCTGCCAGATTAAAAGAATGTTTCAAATTGAGCGGAGATTAAGTGTAATAAAATCAAATCGTATCCAATGGATTGACGGTTCATTTTCATCCTTTTCGCGTAAATCACCATACATATCTGCTTCATCTTGTGCTCCTTCAGGATGAGCCTAACAATACATCCGAGGATCAGCATTACCTTCCAGCAGCAGCACCACCACCACCAGCACCACAACGATGTTCCCTGGAGAGAAACCACAACTTGGCCCCATCTTCGCCAACCATAAGTGAAAGTTTCTGAATAAAAACGCGGTTTAAAGAAAAATGTTCCTTTGGACGAAGAATTTCTTTTTAATCAAAGCGATAAAATAAACAAATGCGCTGATTAAACCAATGTGCGTCCTGTGTGCGCGGCGCCGCGCAGTCAAATGAAGTCCTCAGTGTCCCATAAACGCGCTGCTGCTGGGCTGACTGCCTGCTCGGGGGGAGGAGGTTCACTGCTTCACTACTCACTGCCCCGCTGCTTCCGCGGCAGCAGGCAGCACAGCATCTACAGGAAATTTAAGAGCAACATTTAACAGCAGGTCAGTCATCTCATTAACACTCTGCAGGCGGAAAATTATTAACAATTATCATTAAATGCACAGCAGCTCGATTTAAAAGTACAGGCACAGTTTAAAAAAAAGGATATGAGGTGTTTTAACCAGTGCTTCATTATAACAGCCTTGTTATAATTTATGTATGACTTTTATCTTTGCTATAATCACGATTTCACATCTAACCCTATTTAGTGTTGTAGCTGATTAAATCATTTTCAAGTGTCATTCAGAAGAGGATTTCAGTGGCCCAGCATCATGTGAACAGAGTTTTTGGATGAATAATAATCTAGTTCACTGCTGAGATGCAGCTGAAAACACCACATAGATTAATACTTCATAGCTAACTCCTGTGATACCAACTGTATGAGTCTGGTCAGACACTGTGGGACCTTTCCCCTCTCAGGTCTCTGAATGTGTCTGAGGCTAAAGTGGGATCTCTCTGTGACTGGGCAGTGTACAGTGATGCATTGCTGCAGCCTCGAGCAGGACACCGGTCAGTCACACAGCGATCGCTCTCCAGTTAATGTCCCTGCATGGAGCAAAATCACTGGAGCTCAGTGGGCAGCAGAAGGGGCAGCAGGGATCCTCAGAAACTCCAGCTACCTTCCACAACTGGAAAAACATATGGCCAACACACCTCAGCTCTTTTGTATAATCTAACTGGCTTCAGTGTTTCAGTTGGATTTAAAAAATTTGGTATATTTAAACATGTGATTAAAGAAGAGTTAAGGAAGAAATTACTGAAAGAAACTATAAAGAAAATGCTAAGTGAAAAAATACTGTTAGTCAGTTTGGACATGTTTGTACGCATATCATTCTTGAATCATTCTGGTTTGGAACTTGCTCTTAAAATGAAAAACAAACTGAAAGCCCATTAAACCCCAGACTGACCATTATATTCTGTTTTTGGTAGTTTCATTCACTCAGCACTAATTTAACTTTTAATTCTGTACAATACGACACATTTCAAATAAAGCTGTTTAAAATTTTTCACAAAAGGTTTTGAAAATCCTCAAAATATCATGTTGTTTAGTGATATTAATATAAATGATCTGATAAGCAGATACTACACTCGCATGCTCACTTACGCTATATAATGCTGCTGCATCAAGGGAGAATGTGGGCATCACTGTGTGACATAAGATGCTGAGCGGTCTGCATGAGAGCATTGTATCTGGGATAAAGTTTCCATATGACAGACTATAGGTATCGTGAGACATATGCTCAATAAAGAATCAATACAGACAAGGAGATGTGGTATGTGGCACCACAATGGTATCTTATGACAACAAGTTTAGAGCACTT